TATGGGAGAAGGGGAGGAGGACACTATGGGAGAAGGGGTGGGGGACACTATGGGAGAAGAGGGGGAGACACTATGGGAGAAGGGGAGGAGGACACTATGGGTCAAGGGGAGGGGGACACTATGGGAGAAGGGAGGGGGAGACACTATGGGAGAAGGGGAGGGGGACACTATGGGAGGGAAAGTGCACTATGGAACAATGGGAGGGGGGGACACTATGGGATCAGAACACTAATGGACAAGGGTAGGAGGGGTTAAAGAACACTATGGGACAGGGAGGAGGGGTTAACAATCACTATGGGACAGAGGAAAGGGGGGTTAAAGATCATTATGGGACAGGGGAGAAAAAAATATTCTGAACAAACTGTCCCATGGTAAGAAACACTATGGAACAGTTTGTTCAGAATATTTTTTTTTCTGGGTTTCCTCCTCTAAAAACTAGGTGCGTCTTATGGTGAGGTGCGTCTTATGGAGCGAAAAATACGGTATATATATATATATATATATATATATATATATATATATATATATATGACAATATTGGGAATCTTCATTTATGGATAGTTGATTGTCCACCCTTCCCCCAATCTTCAGAACAAAAAGATAAAAGCAGAATATTTATCATGATTTATAATAGGAATGTGCATTTTCTCCCCTTTATTGGACCTACTTCCTGGGCAGCAGCAGGATTAAGCACAGATTTACTATAGTAGATTGTTTGTGCTTTGGGTAATGAATGATAAGGTCTCATCGGCGGCCGCTAGGGGTCCTAAAAGTGAGAATGTCTGGGTAATTAAACGTATGAATGATGGTTGGAAGAAGATCTCGGTGGGGAGTGTAGAACAGTCGGAAGTGGCGCAGGCAGGGATTATGTGCATCTAATCTCTTTAAATTTAGTTTCTATTAATGTAAGGGAATTGAACTCTCCTCAAAAACGTGGCTATTTATATCATCTCCTAGGGGAAATCAAAAATGATATTGCGCTAATCCAGGAAACTCATTGGAATGTCGCACCAACAAAATTTTGGAGATATTCTAAATGTCCACATATTTTTGCTGCAAACAAAAAAAAGACCAAAACAAAAAAAAGAGTGGTAGCCATAATCTTATCCAAAAGAATCAAATTTGAAAAAATGTTTATAGAAAAAGACATTAAATCTTAAATCTTAATTGCACGGATTAATGATATACTTTATACAATTATTAATGTATATTACATGGTTTAATACAGTATTCGGTAATTATTAATAAAATCTAAAAGATTGTAACAAATTATGTTTATATACTGTGAATAATGTTACAAAATTTTTTGATAATAAAAAATTATATATTGAAAAGAAACTATATGTGACCACCCCCTTGTGTTCCATACCAACATCAATCCGGGTAGTAACTTTTTGCTTTTTTACTTGTATCTATTCGTTTTGTGCTTGCCATGGAAACCATAATGGCATCTATAAACCTTTTACAATCTTTCCATTCCATATCTACGTCACACTTTTTACTTGTTTCCTCATATGTCAGACTGCAATTCCTTCCAATTGACTTATGTGGCGATACCCATATTTACATTCTATTCGAAGTATTCCTTTTCCTCGTTCTAAACACAAAAAGAAGCACAATGACTCATTTGTGAGTTATGATTAATGTTTGTTTTGGATATTATACTGGGACACATTAACATATCAAAGGAATCCACTATCTATGAAGAGTTACAGGTAACATGATCAAAGTCAGTTAATTTACATTGAAACTAGACTTATAGGCAACTGACGGGCAACATTTCACACCTTGCAGCAGCCTTGGTTGATCAAAAGATCAATTCATGTTGTAAACCTTAACCATTTTTCACATCTGTCCTCTACCAAGTACCTCTACGAATGTAATTTGTGCACTACACAAATTACATTAAATAGCAATATTCTATAGAACAACAATTAAATATACACTCTTGGCATGGCAATGTCCTATAATCCATGTTCCCTCTGGTTTAAGACTTCCTCAGGGATGTAGAACACTGCTTATGAATCTTGTTTATAAAGGGGCTACTTGATTACATGAGTAGATTTGTCTGGAGGCTGCATGCGTTCACTGCTCCTCACAACATCATAAATTGACTAATCTTGCTCTCTTTTTAAACCTGGAAACATTTCTCCTAGTCATGTTCGCAGACACACTAAGCAGACACCTTAAATAAATGGTTATGCTTGGTCTAGTAGCAGCCAAATTATCTACCACATGACAATTGAAAGTCCTGCACTGCCAACCTCTCTAGGTGACTAGGTATATAAGTCTCTGTCTGCTGACGCTTCCTAATAGAAACATAGAAACATAGAATGTGACGGCAGATAAGAACCATTTGGCCCATCTAGACTGCCCAATTTTTTTAAACACTTTCATTAATCCCTGGCCTTATCTTATAGTTAGGATAGCCTTATACATATCCCACCCATGCTTAAACTCCTTTACTGTGTTAACCTACCTTACACAAGGTTTATGGTTGTTAAGTATCAAATAACAAAGACCATCAGCCGTCTTTGATATATGCCTTCATCTTGTTTATAGATTAATGTATTCAAATTTAATGTATTCGATTTAAAAATGGTTTGAAAAACAAGTCAGAATGTTTAACAAAGTCATCCATCCATGCAGCTACTTTACATTCATCATGCCCTTCTAGTTTTCCTCTTATCTGCCCTAGATAAGGATGTGTTTGCCCTGGTATTTTATATTCAAGATTACATATGCTTAGCTGCTAACCTCCAAAAACATTTAAATGGACACTCCAGCACCAAATAAATTACATGCAAATTAAGTTGTTATGGTGCCAGCACACCCCTGGAGGCAATATTACCTCAATAAGTTAAACCATTTTTGAATGGTTTTACCCCAAAGTTGCCTCCAGTGGCAATGTCCACTCCTCCACTGGTGGCATCCGGCTTCTGAATTTTTCTGATTGGCTGAGAGAAAAAAATGCAATGTTTATATTGCAGGGTTAATATTGCCTCTAGCAGTTGTCTACCAGACAGCCACTAGAGGCAATTTTTACTGTTTAAGTTTAACTCTGCAAAAAGACGCTGCATGTCCTCACACTGTGCATGATGACATTCTTCTTCTTAAAAAACTGCATTGAATCAATGCTTTCCTATGGGGAATGGCTAATGTACATTCTCGCCATGTATGTGCATTAGGTTTCCCCTCTTTGTTGATTTTGGAGAATTTGCCCAGTGCCAAGGTACTTTGGCGCTGAAATAAGATGAGTGTTTTTAATCCTTTAAATGTCATTGGCAGCAGTTATGTATTCCTAACACTATAGTGTCCCTTTAATTTTTATCAAACATCGTTAATAAAAAAAATCGAAACATGAAAACAATTTGAGACTTAACCTGCTTTTATTGTTATATTAAAGAAGTATCAGTTTGTGTATTATTTCCCCTTGCAAACATCCTGATCCTTTAACATGTGAAGTAGACAATGTTTGTCTTCTTCTGCATTAATATTTTCCAAGCAAAACAGCCATTTTGCACAGAAAATATATATATGTCAAGCACAAATTAGTGAGAGTCCCCAGGACTTATTTAGCACTAGCAAAAGTATGAACTTACATGTAAATAATACTTCAGTAAATATGACTGATATATTGCCACCGGGAGAGCCCAATCCTTTCTTATTCCTCACCAATAATATGCTTATGGTGGAGGTAGCTAAACAACTGAGCATCCTGTAACCCCTGTCAATGGTGGGTTATAGGTACTATTGAATGAACATGGAGGTAGTTGCCGAAGTCTCTCCTTAATTACCTATCTGTGGCCATCAGGTTTGGGGATAAATTAATCAAGTGGTATTTGACCATTAATAATCCCCATCACATTAGTGAAACAATGAGGAAGTAGAACTAAAAGTGAAAGAAACTCACCTCAACCACCCACCTATGAAAGCACAAAAGGGTTAAATAAATCAGCCCATGCACAAATGCAGCTTTTTACTTGTTAGTGACCCCATCCTGTTCCCTAATAAATAAATTAATGGGAAGGGACCTGTGTATAATATTTCATCATCCCGCATCCATTGAGTGACTTTGAGGTGGAATGGAGGACTGAAGAATAAAAAGAATATACAAATATAATGTGGCATACATTACTTCAACACCCACTTGGTGCCCCCTTTCCAGAGTACCACCTCTAATCAATTTCATGCAAGGAAAAATTTTCCCATAACAAATAAATAAAAATTTAGAATCAACTCATTCGGCCCTCATCCTAAATCCTCAGCCCTATAAAAGGGAAGTACAGGGTTTTGCATTAATTTAAATGCCAGTGCTTGTACTGACAAGATATGCTTTTTCATTTTGCAGTTTTTCTTTATTCTTTTTTTTTTATTTTTTTGGTTGCATTGTATATTGTATTATTTTCATGGAGAAACAAATATGAATGACATTTATTTTTTGTTCCACAAATTAAACTTGTCCATGGCCGGTGGAATGTTTTCTTTCAAACTAAGTAATGGTTAATAACATGAATAAGAATAATATGAATGGGGGATGTGGAAGGTCTGGGTCTCCGCAGTCTCCGTAGATGAAAAGAGAAAAGACAGTAATAGTGCAATATTTTTGGGCTTGACGGACAACACATAAGAAGTAAAAAGGGTTGAGAGGGATCCCCTTCTTAGGGTTGCCGCCTTTTTTACTTTTGTTATTTAGCGCTAACCCACTGTCTGTTTTTATCTGTATAGCATGTACATTTTACATGTTCTTATAATTACTTTCCTAGATGATTTTATTTCATTAAAGTTTTCCCATCATGCCATCCTGTAGGTTAATATGTTTTATATATGTACAAAATAGGAAAATGCTGGAACAATACTTCCTTAAGATTGAATTTTCATTCTGAAAACATCTGGACGGGATGTGGCCATGCCCAGGAAGTAGCTAGTGCGAGACACCAGTGGGCAGTGGCGGAGGTCGGAGTTCGGACTAGCAAACTCACAGCCTAAGCCGCTGGAGAGTGCAGCCGGAGAATTCAGCGTGTGTCTCCTTGGATCTCTGGAGCAGTTGGTGAAGCCAGCGTTGTGGATGAAGTTTCCCACAGTATGTGGTGTCATGACCCATAGAGGGCTTCAGGAAGCGAATGGCTGCTCGCTGGAGTAGGCTCTGGGAAAAAGACTGGAAGGACTGGAATAAATAGTAAGTCCCAAATGAGCTTTCCTCTAATCATATAAAAGAGAAGAGCAGAGCTAAAAGGCCTTTAAAGGTGAATGGAGCGAGGAAGGAGGAAGGAGGAAGGAGGAAGGTGGAAGCCCAGAGGAAAATTGCTTAGGAGAATAAAGGAGATCAAGGAGAAGAAAAAATATACTGTGAGTGATAACAGATAAAGACAGAGCAAAGTAAGGAGCCGGGAAGGGAGAAGAAAGAAGGGAAAGAAAGTGTAAAAGGGGTAAAGACTACCTTAATTCAACCCATTCCCAAACTTATACCCCACGGTCTCCACTTGTTAAAACCATCCCCCTTTGGGGGTTCATGGTGATCAGATATCTCTGTTACCTAAGGTTATACTTTTTGGAGGAGGTATGCTGAGTTAGATTTCTCCGCTATATATTTTTGCTACATATTAATTTTCTGACTTTTTGTAGCTCTCTGGAGTGTTGGATAAAAAGCGATATCTTAATACCTTTGCCAAGATTTTTTTTTTGTCTGTTTCCTTCTCTAACTGCAATAGCAGTATTATCAGACTCAAGTGGCTGTAGAGTACTTGCAGAAAAGGTTAAAGTCGGGCTGTACTAGCCTTTGTTATCGTGCAGCTGAGGTTCGAAGAGGATACAGAAAGGAGGAGGGAAGCTGAAAGAAGGAAGAAAGAGAGAAGAGAGTAAGGGTAAATGGCCATAAAGAGGATATAAAAGTAGTTAATTCCTATGTCAAACCCAGCTTAGTTACACCTTGGCTGGGTTGCTGGGACTTTGAAATTATTTTTTTTCCCATTTTTTTTCTCGTTTTGAGATCCAGAAGGAACAATTTTAGCTATATGCTTTCATAGATTCCCACGACTTTTATTTGGTTGGATTATATGAGGCAGACCAGCATAAATATAATAAGATATCGGCTCTGATTGAAGCTGGTCGAATCATAATCATAGTTTAATTGTTTTTTGTGTCTTTTTTTCTTAATTCTGAGTAGATCCCTTGGTTCGCTTTTGGGATTTATAGTGAATGTAAAATATTTTTCTCTTGTTACTATTGTAATTTTTAAATTGCTGTTTTACTATTGTTAAACGGTGGTTATAAGAGAAGACAAAATGAAAAATAAGCACAACAAAAACTCTAAGTGTAAAGGAAAAGGCAAAGAAAAAGATAATGGAATACCGACAAGTAACTTTTTTATCCCAATTAAGAAACGCAATAGCTCTGAGGAGTCAGTATTGACATCAGGAACGCAAAAAGAATTAGAACATTCAGATAACTTAATCAGCTGAGTCATCCTTAGTAGAGGTAGATAGCCATAGAGAAGAACAGCTCACAATCTCCACCATGAAGGAAGTAATGATAGATTTACTGAAAGATCTAAAGACCTCCATGGTGCAGGAAATCTCTAAGGAGATTGCTAAAAATTCCAAAGATACAAATACCCTCTCAAAGAAAGTTACAGATTTAGGTACCCAACACGAACATTTGATAGAATTACATAACCACTCGAATTTGGAAATACAGAAATTAAAAGAGGAGCTTTTGGGCTTAAAACAGAAATATAGCAGATTGGAGAATTTTTCTAGACAAAATAATATTCGCATAAGAGGGATACCAGAATTAGTGGGGCAGGTGGACCTCCCTAACTATATAATAGCATTCATAAATTCTTTGATGAATCCAGATTTTGAGAGGGCCCATATGTTAGATAGAGTTCACAGACTCCCTCTCTCACGTAATATCTCAAAGGAATTACCGTGGGATGTGATAGTGAAATTACATTCTCTTACGGTTAAAAAAAAATATTACAGAAAGCATTTGAATGTAAAAGCTTTGATGCACCCTATGAACAACTGAAAATTTTTCCTGATATATCAGGAGAGGTGATTATGGAACGCAAAGAATTCAGAACGATAACAAAAGTACTAAAATAAAAATGTATCTTATAAATGGGGTTTCCCAACTAAACTAATTATTAAAATTGGTACGGAGTTTAAAGTAATTAACTCTCCACTAGAGGGGGAAAAGTTTCTGAGAGATATAGTCTACTTGGGAACTGCTTAAGGTATGGTTATATTGAGATATTTGAGGGAGGGCATAGTATTAGAGAGTGGTAACGAGCATAGAAATGCTCTTCGGTAGATTTTTTGGGGGAGGTTTAAATAATGGTTTTAGGGGTGTTATACCTCTTTTATGTAGTTAAATTATGACACTTGGAATCAAATAACTGGCTGAGGAGGGAGAAGTAGAGGGTGATAACGAACTTAGAATTCTGTGAGGTCCGATTTCCTGGGGGAGATTCAAATTTTAGTTTGAAGGGGGTTATAGTCTTATCAGTGTTCTGATAGAGTAGATCACGCTGGATAGAATTAAATTATTTACTTGTTAAAAGGATCACTGATTGATGGTTTGTCACTTTATATTAAGGTAATTGCAATAATAATTAAGCATTTATTAAACTATGCCAAAGGTTATCTTTGGGTAACACAAGATTACTCATTAGAATAGAGATATTTGAATTGGTTTCAATTTATTAGAAAACTGTACAAAATTAGTTAGTTTTGTTAGGTTAAGGGATATGAGTATTAAATGGTTTGCCCTTTTGTATAGTATTGAGCTATTTTAATGGAAACCCAGCACTGGGGGTTAGGTAAATTTTAGTTAAGGATTTCACTAAGGGTAAATTAAGGTTTTATAATATGGCCCTGAAGGGCCCTTATGGGTTTAAATGTATAGTTATGTACTACATTAGAGTAAATATTATTTGTTTTATTGCACTGGAAAACTGCACAAAACAAGTTATCACTATGGATTAAATGTCTATCACAATTCAAGGGGGATACTATAGTTGATTCTTTGGTAAAGAAAGTATTTAGATTTATATGCACATTTTGATACACTCAATGGATTGTTTAGCACAGGTGGTAAATCCCCAGAAATGATAGATAATCTTGATGTATTTTTCCTCCTACCTTAAACTGGTTTGTTGTTTAAAGCAGTATTATGGTTCATAAGTGTGCTCACATGGCCTTTCATACTCACAGTAGAAAAGAGGATGGGAAGTTGGAGAGTGGGCTATGACACGGGTCTTTATCTGTTGGGTTCTATAGGGATGCTTCTCTCCTTTATTCCCTCCTCTTCCCTTTTTGCTTATGAGGTTTGGCTTCTGGTTCTTGTGGCTCTTTGAGTCTTTATGTAGAATTTGTTTTATTAGTTTTGTTAGATTATTTTCACTTATTTTATCATGTGATATAGATAAGAAGGGCTTTACTTTGGGCTGCTGTTGAGGATGTATACAAAGACCATCGGCAAGTCTGACGGGGGACCTCGGCCAAGGTCTCGAACTGAGGTAGTTCGACGAAACTTAGATTTACCAGCCACTTCTAGAGATGGTAGAGGGAGAAGTGGAGTCTTTCTAAGTAGGTAGATCCTTAAAGAAGATGATTGTATCACATCAATTTTTTATTTTTTGGATGAATGGGTGCGAATGTGTTTATTATGTTAATTGGGAGGTTCCGAGGCATGGGGTGGGAGGTGCTGATGGAGGTGGTTCAGATGATCCTCAGAGTCGTGGTGAGTTTGGTTCGCTATGACTCTCAGGATTATTAGTCAAAATGTCCAGGGTTTAAACACAATGGGCAAAAGAAGTATAGCTTTTAAAAACTTGTTTAGGAGCAAACCGGGCATTATATGTATGAAAGAAACTCACTGGCAGACTAATAAAATTCCCTTTTTTGGTAATAGATATTATTCTAATCCTTATAATGCTACTTATTCGAAAAGTAAATCGAGAGGGGTTTCAATAATATTTAATAAAACACTAATAATAAAAGAAGATATTGTCATAAATGATAAAGAAGGACGATATTTACTATGGACAGGTTTGATTAATTCCCAGAAATTTACAATCTTAAATATGTATGTCCCAAATAGTGATGTCGCGAACTGTTCGCGAACTTCCCGCTCGCGGCGAGCTCCGGTCAGCTGACACATCCCGGCCAATCTCCAGCAGACCCTCCCTCCCAGACCCTCCCACCTCCTGGACAGCATCCATGTTGAAGGCAACTGACCGGAGCTCGCCACGAACGGTTCGTGGCGAACCGCGGCAAGCCGTTCGCGGGAAGTTCGCGAACAGTTCGCGACATCACTAGTCCAAAACAAAGGGCAAATTAAATTTATTACTCAGATATTGAAAGCAATGAAAAAATTCTTTATAGGGACTCTAGTTGTCTGTGGAGACTTTAATTTGCCTTTGGATCCATCTGTAGATAGAAACTTTATGGGAGAAATAAAATTGGATCCTCATCTAGTTCAAAATTCTAAAAAGTTTAATAAAGTATTATTAAAATATAATCTTTATGACACATGGAGAAATTTTCACCCTTTAGAGAGGGAATACTCATTTTTATCACACAGACATAAAATGCATAGTAGATTGGACTATATTTTTGTGGATGGGCAGGGTATTTCAAAGATTAAACATTCAGAAATGGGGGTGATCACTTGGTCTGATCGTGGTCTGGTTGGAGTAAGTTTGGATATTGGCCCTCCTGTTAAGAACAAGAGATCACGGAGGATGAACATAGAATTATTATAAGATCAGGAAATACTTAAAAACTTAAAAAATGAAACAGCTGCCTTCTTTTCGAGAAATTACGGAACTGTAAACTCTAAAGAAATAGTATGGCTCTTCTATAAAGCTTACATAAGAGGGATAATGATAAAATGGCAGTCAGTTTTAAAGAAGCAGAGAGGTAAATTACTAAGAGACTTACATATAGAACTGGTGTTAGTGGATAGAGAAAATAAAAAATCCCCATCTGATCTAAAAATAAATAAAATTCAAGAATTACAATCACAAATAAAAGGAATTCAGCAACTATTGGTGGATAAATCTTTATGGGCTGCCCATCAAAGATCATACCATGGCCAAAAAGGAGCAGGGAAATGTATGGCTAGTAAGTTGAAACAAAAATTAAAAAATGATAGAATAAACAAGTTATTATGTAATAAAAAACTGTTGGTTAAAC